AAAATCTGTTCTTCACGAAAATTCTTCACCTCGTCGAGATCTAAAATTTTCATTTTTAGTGAAAACTGAAATTCAGCATCTAAAGGCCTCGTTTGGCTGAAAACAGTAGCTGCAGTCTTTTTCCTGAAACTGTGTTGGACAGCCTGCCCGTTTTTATAAAATGGTTTCAAACTTACTTTTAGAGTTAAAGTTGGGTTTTCTCATAGTCATATAAAAATGTTCAAAACATCAAGAACTATAAGTTTAAATTTTGAAACACTGAAAAATCCCTCTCTAGGGTCCTCATTTTTGCGTTCAAAATAACCGAAAATTTTTTCCTCCAATCCAAAATAAACAACTTAAACCAAACATAAGCTTACCACATAATATTAATCACATTAACCTCAAAACACACAAAACTAACATAAAACTCACACACCCTTATTACAACTCATCTCTTCAAGAACCACAAATTACATCCATAAATTCAAGCTTAAAGTTGGCTAGAAAATAATGGAGAAGAGTTTAAGAAATTACCCTTGAAGAACTCTATCTCATGAAAACTTTTGAACTCCTTTAAGATTTGTTAATGGCTTGGAACTAGAAGAGTATAAGGAAATTTGAGAATAATATTTCTACATTTCAAACTTTACTAAAACATGAGAAATAGAGGATTTAGAGTTTATACCCTTGGAGAAGTGCTTGACTAGACTCCTCCTAGAATCCTTTGATCTCCTTCTTCTTCTTCTATTGTTTGCTAGTGGCTTAGGGTTAGGGGAGTGAGAGAAAATTTTTAAGAGAGTATGGGTGGAGTGTGGCCAGTTTTGAGGTGGAGAGAAAATAGGAGAGTAAAAAATGAGGCATAGCTTATAATGGTTCCTTTTATAGACAAGTTGGTGATCATTTATTTAACCCCAATTCACCCCATTAATCAACCAAATTTTTGGTTCAAATCTCCTAAGTCATGGCCGGTTCTAGGTGGAGAAAAGAATGAGCAAGTATGCCATGATTTCTCCTTCAACCACTACCATCACATCACCTTAACATGAAACCCTCTAGCACACTCAATTAGCCAAAATTTGGCTCTAATTTCACTATGCATGGCCGGCCAAGTGGAGAAGGAGAGAGAGAAAAATATTACCTACCCCTTGTACTTTTGTCCACTTTCTTAAGTTTCCTTTGAAACTGTTAAAAATTATACTGAGTGTAAGGAAGTACTTAGCCAACAAGAAATTCTAGTTTCTGACGGTTCCTTTTCTACTGCTTATTTACAGTTCAATATTAATCCCCGACTACTTCGATATCACGTTAAGTTATTACTCGCGTAATATCTTGAACTATTTCAAGTCTTGAAATTAATTCTAGACTGAACAAATTCTAAATTTAACTTTTCTGCATTATATTCCGGGAATGACATTGTTTCTGATGGTATCAACTCCTGAGCTCACATTATACCATTCTACTATAGGTATTTATCCTGTGACTTTAACCTAGTTGTCTGGCAATTAAGGATTTTCTCTTCTTTTAAAATGTCAAAGCATTTTTTTATACGCTGCTAGCATCGTGCTGTGCTCGGAGATTCTTGAAATTAAGATTCTCAAACTATATTTGTACTGAAAATTCTTCCGCCTTAGATTACGGTGAGAATTTATCGATCGAATTTACTCGATCGTAAACATGAACTTAACATGAAATCTACTACAGAATTTTAGGAATACAAATATTAATTCCATAAATCATTCAGTTACAAATATAACATAATATTTTCTAGGAAAATCCTTGGCTTAAATACATAAATTGTATTATTTAAGGTCTGAAATTTTCTCAGTCATTAGAAATAATTAATAATTATAAGAAAAGGGAAACTATCCTCTTAATTACAATATTTTTCTATTATAAATAACAAATTTTTAATGAGATATTAGTGAGTATGTTGTTAAATTTTATAATTAATTTAATGAAGTTTGCTTTCAGTTTTATAATGTTACTAGAATTGTTTTGATTTTTCTTTCTTTATGGGTAAATAGGTAGGGTATGGGCATATTATCCCAGTGGGGACTCCTTGACCCTGACCTTGACATCGACCCCAACCTCACCTAAAATTAGCCGCGTATGGAGGCAGGTAAAAGGGACAAAATAGGAGTAAGGCAAGGGTGGGAGGAGCATACTCACCCCCGCCCCGCCCGATTCTCATCCTAACCGGTCGGTTTTCGACCACAATACTGGTATTTGACTAAAATACCCACCGGTATCCGGCCAACAATTGCCAGTATTGGCCACAATCTAGCCGCCAAAGTAACCTTAAGTTACCAATTAGTATGCACCATGATACCGGCCGATATCCACAGCTAATATCAATCGGTATCCACTACTCATCAGCGATTATCGATCAGTAACCACGGTGATATCAGCTGCTAGTGGTTACCGGCCGGTGACTGTCGGTATCCAACCGTAATACCACTAGTATTCAATAGTAATATCGCTCAATCAGATTGAATTTTTCATTGGAATGCTAAAGAATCACTTTAATTCACCAAAATCACCGAAATCACATAAAAACACAAGAATCAATAACGATGATGGATAAGTAGAGAAAAAATTAACAGAAAAAAAACCCCTTCATCAGTTGGTATCCACCAAGATACTGAACAGTATCATGACTGGTAAATACCGGAAACCGGCGTTATTAGTGGCAGTACAACCATCACCCCATCATAATATTCAAAATACCATGGAAAAACAAAAAATATACATAGAAACAATAAGAGGACGTTTGGTTGATGGATTCAGAATCATGATTCGGAATCATTCTCGATTTACGTGTGTTTTTTTGTGAGAGAAAACACTGTAGTGAGCCACAAATCATGATTCGTACCATGGTACGAATCCTTAAACCAAATGTCGCATAAAACAAAATCCAAAAAAGTTAGCTAACCACGTAGAAAAACAAAAAGTTCACGAAATCCACAAACCACCAAAAAAGATCAACGCTTCGTAAAAACCATAAAACTGTATTTCTATATCGTTGAATCATAGAGGAGATCTCCACATGTCCACCACGGCCAAGATCTAACCACTAACTCGTCGTGGCACTGCACAGCCACGTGCCAGTCTCAAATCTCTCCATCGCTTATCTGTTTGAATGTCTACATTGCCATTAAACCATATAAGGGTGATAATTTATGTGTAATGGGTCGTGTTCGTGTCAATTTATTTATTAATCGTGTCAGAAAATATCAATTTAAGCACGACTCGTTTATTAAACATGTAAAAAATATTAATTTAAACATGACATATTTATTAATCGTGTTAATCGCGTCAATCAACATAATCCGTTTAAATTAATATATTAAACATATAATTAATATAATAATAACTTATTTAACATAATCATGATAGATTTAACATATTTATTGATCAATTTATCTTTTTTTAAAGAAAAATAAATGAATTTTACTTACAAATATTAAAATTCATATTATTTGTATTTAATATATCATATAAATTTTCATGTTATATTACATACTATTATATTGCAGATGATATATATAATTAATCATGTCATTTTGTGTTAAGAAATCAATCATAACCTAATTTATTTATTAATCGTGTTAATCATGTCAATATGAGTATGATTCAAACTCATTCATAATAAATTTGAACCCATTAACTTCGTACGGATCATGTCATCACCCAAATTGCAACCCCTAAAACCATAGAGGAAATCTCCTCCACACATCTAACTCGAGCTTCTCCATGGTGAGTTCTCCTATTCTTCATCGATTCTAACAACGTCTTGTGGAGAAGCACGACTAAGGTAGATCAGTCTCCTCCCGATGAGATCGCGCATATCTTATGCCATTGACAAGAGAGGCGTCGACGAGAAAAGGGTTGCACGACGGTGTCACTGAGAAAGGGTGGGGATGCATAAGAGAGAGAGGGGAAAAGAAGATGAAGAGAGAGTAGAGAGATGAGGAAAAAAGAAAATCAAAACAAAAGAAACTCCTAATTCATTTGTGGGTATTAGGGTATTTTAGGGGATGTTCTTTTGCCCTTTTTGAATTAGGTGACTTGAATGTAGATTTTGAGTTGAGTTTGAGTTATAACTTGAGTTGAAGTTATAACTTGAGTTTGTGTTTGGTTGTGTACATTTGAGTTATGGTTTGAGATAAGAATCTTTTTGAGTTTGTGTTTGAGTGAATCAAAACTTAAATTTGTATTTAGATAGTATTTTAATAAAAACTTAATGCTGATGGAAAATTTTAATAGGGTATATGGGTGGGGTTTTATTCGTCTTTTCGTTGTCAACGTATAGAAAAAAAATCATCTCAATCAGAATTAAAACGAAAAAGTTATAGTATTTTTAAGAATAGAAAAAATACTATTCATTAATTTGAGTTCGAGTTTCTGAACTCGAGTTGAAGGGGAAATTTAGGGCCCGTTCGGTTCGCCAAGTTGAATTTTTAATTCGAGTTGAGATGTAATGTTGTGAGAGAGCTTTTTACTGTAACAAAAAAGTTAAATATAACTGTTTCTGAGAGCTAATTCTAAACTCGAATCAGCGAAATGAACGGGGCCTTAAACTCGAGTTTTAGTCCCAAACTCGAATTCAAACTTAAAAGAACATGAACTCAAATAAAATTATAACTCGAGTTGTTTTTTTTTTAAAATTTTTAACTCAAAATGAGGCTGCCGAACCGCTTACTATCTGGTAAATGTCAAGTCTTTTTCACTCATTGGCATTGACTTTTGTCCCTCCGGACAAACGCGCTTGAAAACATTGCGTTTCTCTCTGTTTTTTTTTTTTTTTTTTCTCAATAAATGCATAGGTCCGAAGTAAGCTAGTCCCAAGAATTTTGGAATCAAACGAAAGAACACTTTTATCTGGACCCCAAAAAACAAAAACAGAAACAGGAAAAAAAAAAAAAAAACTCGGGGTCGTTATGATTATGATTTTCTTGATCAAGTTTATAAATTAACAGAAAAGGCATCAGATAATTGTATCAAATTTCATTCACCGTATGCCAATAAATTCCACTTCTGATCCCAAGAAAAAATTCAATTCGTAAATTATTGGGAGATTCCAATATCAGCGTATAAGATTCCAAATTACTGCCCAATATTGGGAATCTACATGCATTAGCTAGTATTGATGTGGTAAAGGACAATTATAAAATAGAATTGCTTCCCATTAAAGAGAAGGAAAAAGGACCAAAATGCAACTGACAAGCTCTGAAGCCAATGTGGAAGCGATACAAGAACCAAGTGATACGCACCTTAATGCCAAAGAACAATCACAAAACCACATCAACCTGAAGTTCAGAAACATCTTTGCAAAAGATTGGCTCAGGTGTTTTAAATTTCTCCATCACAACAAACCTCATCTAATCGATCGAGAAATCCTTTTTGAGAAGGTTCTTGTAGTACGGAAACACTAATGTGAAGCCCCTTATTAGAGGCTGCTTCAAACTTTGTCCACAGCTCCTTCTTCAAAGTATTCTCGCCAGGAGGTTTGCCTCTTCGATTTGTGCTTTGAGGTTCCTTCCAAATAGGAGTGCTCGCAACAAGGCTGAGATTGCCATCTAGAGGTTCTGCAGTTATACAAACGGAGCTGTCGTCAGTAATGCCTAGTTTGCAATCGGTCTTAAAACCAAAACAACTAATAAAAGAGTGAACGTGGAAAGCTCTACCTTGAACAACAGTTTTCTTCACTTGCTGATCGGTATCTTGGGAATCAACTTCTGGTAGAGGCACATTCGTTTGGCTTTTCGGAGCATGCCCAGTTACTGGCATTCGTAAGCGGCAATTTGCAGCAGCAACGTCATTGTCCAGAGTTGGCTCATCAGAAGGGTCGATTAGAACACAAGTTTTAGGAGGTGATCTAAACCAATCCGGCGATGCTTCAATCTGTTTCTTTGTAACCCCTGATTTATATGGGCCTCGGATGCCCAAAAGTTCTGGATATTTCAAAGCTATACCTTCTGGAGCTTCACTGCCAGAAGAAGAAGACTCAGAAATATACGATTCACTGCACTTCTTAATCCCAACAGGAAATGGGGTCGACTTATGAATCCTTTTTTTTCCTGCATGCGTGGACTCAGAAATTGCTCCGAGCAATACACAAGATTTCGGAGGTGACCTTTCTATACACGGAGTCATTACTACCATGGAGCAATTGCTTTTAGAGAACATTAGGGGAGACACAGCACCAGATTCTACATTGCTAGTTGTTTCGGTCGCAACCAAATAAGAAGGCTTCACTGGAGTTGGCTGTATTTCTATATCTTCAAGCAAATCATACTTTGTGCCCATGGATATAGAACTAAAAGGCGGTATCTTCTTCAAAGTATCTGAAGCAACCCTTTCAAACACCAATTTAGGAGGGTCTGGGTGTTTGGATGATGGTAGTGTCTTTGAAATAGGAAGAGGGGTAAGCAAAAACATCTGTCTTCCTCTCTCAATAGTACAGTTAGCACGCCAAGACACAAGAGGTGAAGGAGAGATTAAGAAGTCTAGATTCGTTTTCTCGGGACTCTCGGGCACCTCAGTTTCAACTTCATTTACAGCAGAAACAGATTGACTTACTGAAGACATTCTCGACTGATTCTCAGACTCCAAAGAACTACTGGTGACCACCCTCGCTAATCTGGGAACCCATGGCTGAGCATACAGAACATACTATTACATATCAGTTCTGAAATATAATGTATAGATGTGGAATAAAGTAACGTGACTAAAGACTTAACCTTCAAAGAGGACCTCATTTCAGATAAATCATGTGCAAAGGATTCAAGTTCTTCTCTCGCAGCTTTGCTCGGTAACTTCAATTTAGATGCTTTCACAACAAGTTCATCAAACTTGCATAAAAAAAAAAACCAAATACAAGGCTGAGTCAATTGAAAAAACCCAAAAAAAATTTAAAAAATAAAAAGGAGGCAAGTTGCGGGTGAAGATATATTCAAATATTGTGTAAGTTTCTATGGTTTATGATGCGGAGTCAGAAACATCTAAAGACAAAGATATAAACATCGCATTAGGGTTTTTTCTGATTTAAGAAATAAAAATTGTTCCTTTTGTTCATAAATGTGAAAATTGAAAGCCAAATGCGTACAAGGTTCATTTGATTTCGAATCTAAAGGGAGATTTTTGACAAGGATGCATCAACCAATCGAGAAATGTAGGCAACAACAGAAAAGAAAATTACGCAAATCAATCAAAGGCACAGCAAATTCAGTTTAAGGATCGAATTACCGATAACCAAAGGAATAGTCACCTTGCCAATGATGTAAGAAAGGTCTGATTGAATGAGAAGAAGTTCTTCATTTTCTTCTTCTTCTTCTTCTTCCTCTTCTTCATCATCATCTTCTTGAGCCGTAGGCCTGTAAATCTTCTCTTTCTGGGTAAATCTCTTCGTTGCGGTGGTCACGGGTCTCGAGGATCTTCCACCGCCGATGTTGTTCGCTAAGTCCCTCAGCGGCCTCCGAACCGACTTCGACTTTACTTCGTTCTTCGGCATTTCTTTCTCTCTCTATTGTACGGACTCTCTGTCTGTGTTTCTCTCTCCACTGTGTTTTTGAATTTCTCAAACGGGCGGGTACGCTGGCAAAGGCTCTCTCTTCTCTTTATCTCATGGGGCGGACTGAAGGGGCTAATTTGTAATTGTGCGTAATCTTCTAGAGACCGAGAGTCACTCGAGCCACAACCCGGCCGAGTCCCGAGTGCATTTCTGTTTGTCGTTTTGTCGTTTGTTTTGCATTTTGGGCTGCTACAATCATAGGCCCAATAAGTGGATGTTGGAGATATCAGAGACAGCCCATTTTCATCAGCTCGAAGACAAGCTATGTTCATTGAACCTGGTCACGACTTCACACACGACAAGATGTATCTCCACGTGTCCACTCCGCATTATCATTTCCCAAACCAGATTACGCAAAAAAAAAAAAAAAAAAAGAAAAGGAAAAAAATCCAACATCGACATAAACATCAACTCACTGTAACCGCGGCGCGTGTACACACGCGCCACCGAGAGGTTCAGAAGCCAGAGAGCAGATAACGAGACGGAGAAAAGGCCATGGCGGAGATGAATCTGGTGGAAATCCAAATCCCACAGCAAAAGCTCTACAACGGAGTTCATTTCCCTTCAGTCTTATCTCCAACATCCACACCTCTCTCCTCTCTCTCTCTCCTCACCAAAACCATCCAAACCCAAAAATCCTCCCTCCAGTCCCTGCTCCAAAAATCAGGGGCTGTTCTCTTCAGGGGCTTCCCGGTAAATTCAGCCTCCGCTTTCAACGACGTCGTTGAGGCCTTCGGCTTCGAGGAGCTCCCTTACGTCGGCGGCGCCGCCCCCCGGACCAACGTCGTCGGTCGGGTCTTCACCGCCAACGAGTCTCCTCCCGACCAGAAAATCCCCTTTCACCACGAAATGGCTCAGGTCCTCTTAATCCCACTTTAATTGTGTTATTAATTAGCTTAATCAATTACTAATCATGGTTTTTGTGTGTTAATTAATAGGTGCCTGAGTTTCCATCGAAATTGTTCTTCTTCTGCGAAACGGAGCCTGCAAGTGGAGGAGAAACTCCTATAGTTCTAAGTCACATTGTGTACGAGAGAATGAAAGAGAAGTACCCGGAATTCGTTGGTCGTTTGGAGGAACATGGTCTGATATACACGCGTGTGTTGGGGGAAGACGATGACCCTTCGTCTCCTATCGGCCGTGGATGGAAGTCAACCTTCTTGACCAAAGACAAGGCCGTCGCTGAGCAAAGGTTTGTAGTACAGTCAAAACTATACATTGTAGCGAAATTTATATCTGGTATAGGTAGAGCCGGTAATATGGGTTATGACATGACGACACGATTCGAAAACGACACGAATTTTACGGGCTAGGACTAAAAAAAAAGAGGTTCGAGTTAGAATTGGGTTGACCTGAAATTGACACGAAAAATACGGGTCAATTTCGAGTTGGACCTGCCTAACCCGAATACGACACGAAACTCGTAAAAAACTAAAAAATATATATATTTTTCATTTCATATTTTAAATTTTATTATGAACTTGTGATATTATGATAGTTATATTCAAAATCTTATACTATTATTTGCTTAATTTTAATAGATGTTATTGTAATTTAGTGTGTTATGAATTTTAAGTTATTTTTAATATGTAAAAAATTAAATAAAAGTATACAATTTTATTTCGAGTTCACGGGTCAATTTCGTGTCACGGGTCATTTTCAGGTCGTATCGTGTCAACTCGTAAAGTGGTCGTGTCGTGTTCGTGTTCGTGTTGCGGTTTTTAAAAAATTTCGTGTCACAGGTCGTGTTCGGATTGACTGCAAATTTAGAAAGAAACGATTAAAACACGACACGTGACACGAATTGTCACCCCTAAGTATTGGTATGTAGTTTGAACTTATTTGTATCAATTTTTTAAATTAGAAAATCTTGATCTTAGAAGATTTCATAGTTTTAGATAACTTTCTTTATATGGAGTTCATTAATAAGAGCATATATAAGGGAGGTCTCTAATTCAATTTTTAGAAAGCTATTTAGTTAGTAATTTTTTATGATCCACTCCAAATATACTTCATATTTTAACTATATATAGATTAAAACTTTATTGAATTTGAAAATAACCTTATTGAATTTGAAAATAACCTTTAATTGTAGTTTGAAATAATAAAATAATAAATAAAACAAATGATTAGTCACTTCTTGCTAACTACATTTAGCTAGTGTAAAATGCATTTTTCAAAATAGCTAATTATTTAAGCTAATAGTTGGAGTGGAGGAAAGTTTTAAAAAAAGTTAAATTATTAACCATTTTGGCTAAAAAGATGAAATTGTTAGTATGGTTGGAGATGCTAACAATGGCGGATTTAAGTACAGCTTAGTGGGAGTTACCGTCTCCACTCAAATTTTTTTTAAAAAAAAATATTACCTTTAAAAATTTTAAAATTTTACACTTAAACCTACATTGCAATAATATATGCCCTCACTAAAATAAACATATTTTCTTATATGCTCTCATTAAGATAATTTGTTAAAAAAATTTATGCTATGTTTGGTAGGAAGGAAAGAAAATAAGATAGAAAGGAAATATGGAAGTTATGGAAAATAGCAATGATGGAAAGGAAATTGATTTTCTTTTATGTTGTTTGGTATGAGAAGATGGAAAGAAAATGAGCTTACCTTCACTTGTTTGGTATTGAAAGTTAAATTGGGAGGAAAGAAAAAATTTTACTCGTAAATTATTTTTATACCCTTAAATGTTTTGCTTGGATGTTAATGGAGAAAATGGTAGTTTAGTAACTTTGCTCACTTTAATGAGTTGTCCCCATTTTCCATCTCATTTTCTGCCCACTTGTGGAAAGAAAAAAAATGGTGGGGCCTACATGTATTATTTTCCACTCCATTTTCTCTTCCTTTCTCTTTTCTCTCCTACCAAACAACAACATTCTTCCTTCCTTCTACTTTTCTTTCCTACCAAACATACTCTTAGTGTACGCTCCCACTGAAGTGAAAAGTTGGCTTTGCCACTGGACGCTAATGCTCCAAACTTGTGTGTTTTCTCCTCATATTATGTGCATGTAGACACATTACCAAATGACTTTAAATCTGTGTTTTCCTTTTCTTTTCTTTTTTTTTTGTTTAAATTTTCCTCTTTAGTTTTTAATACGTAACCTCTAAATTGTCACAATTATATATGTTTAGTCCTTAACTATAGATTATAAATTTAATAGAGAAATAATGTTATTTATCATTATTGGTGACCTGAACTATACAGTACAACCTTTGTTGAACTTGCAATTTAGGGACAAAAGCCATTTTGTGGTAATATAGGGACTTGTGAATAAATGAAGATTGGTTTCTTAGGAGTTGTTTGGGTGTTTTTGGCAGGGCTGCTAAGCTGGGGATGAAGTTGGAGTGGCTAGAAGATGGAGTGAAGACGATAATGGGTCCAATCCCGGCCGTAAAATACGACGAGACTAGGCAATGCAAGATTTGGTTCAACAGCATGGTTGCAGCATACACAGGATGGGAAGACGCGAGGAATGATCCCATTAAGGCAGTAACTTTCGGCAATGGAACGCCACTGCCAGGTGATATTATCCACGACTGTCTCAGAATTCTTGAAGAGGAATCTGTTGCCATTCCATGGAAGAAAGGCGATGTTTTACTTATCAATAACTTGGCCGCCCTCCACTCGAGGAGATCCTTTACTCCACCTCGTCGAGTACTTGCTTCACTATGCAAGTAATAATAAGATCTTCATGTTGAGTGTATTGTTTAGGTATATACTCAAGTAGGAGTTGTATAAATAAGATGAGATCTTCATGTGAACCTTTGGACATTCAATTTTCGCTTCAGAATCACGCTGCCACTCAAGTAACCTTTTGTATCAAGTCATATTTCTACATACATCAAAAATTTCCCACAAATGAAACAACAAAGAATGTGACAAATCAATCGGGAAAACAGACTCAAAAGCATGAAAGAATCGGTAGCCTATAGATACACTACCTTGCAATACTACCTATGATGCCACTATACACGCATGATCACGCAGACAGATAGATGATGAGAGTGCAAAATGTGGTCAAAAAGGGGGAAAAAAAAAAAGTGGAATGGGTCTCTGAAGTAGTGGGGTTCAAAAAAGTTGGCTGAATCAACTATTGTCAACTATCTTCCTTGGACAAGACCACTGAAAACTTGGCTGGTCCCTGCAAGAGTAGCTTCCCACTCCACAGAGGAGAGAAGGATTTGAGATAATGAAATCACGACTTGTTTCATGTCAGGCCTTAGCATGGGATCGTCTTCCACGCATGATTTTGCCAGCACGGCCATCTACATGATGATGAAACATATCACTCTCTAAGTAGAAATGTGTTTTCACAACAAATCAAGTGCTTTATTTCGTTATAAAGAAACAGTTCACTTTATAAGCTGTTCTCTTTTCTAATAATGTTGAGAGGGATAAAGAAAGTAACCTTGAACAGACAATCATGTGGATACAAATCCATCATGTTGGGATCAATATAGTCTTTCATGCTTGACATACTCAGGGAATCGGGGCAGTTCTTTAGAGCTGCTAGCATCTGTAATTTCCACAAAAGGAAAAAAAAAAACCTTGTGTTAATACAAATGAATAACGACTTTTTTAGGGAAAAGTTTAGAGATGTTTGCTTACAATGGATACCAACGAACGTCTTTCAGGATTTTTCAAGCCTTCAGTTCGAATAGTAGCCTCCTTTCCCGATATAATCTCAAAAAGAACGACTCCAAAAGCATAAACATCACTTTTAGCCGTAGCACGGCCATCACTCAAGTATCTGCAAGAAACCATGATTATCACTTGAAACTCCTTGCTTTGAAGAACTTGTTAAAGAAAAACTAGCCAACTTTGAGTGAATTTACTTACTCTGGAGCTAGATAACCAAAGGTACCAACCACTTTTGTCGTTGTAGATTCTCCGTCAGTTGGTTTTCCTATGAGTTTTGCCAACCCAAAATCTGAAATCTAAATACAGAAAGGAAAAGAGACATTCAGCGAGACATGCTTGAGTTGTAAAATGAATAAATGATATCGATGAGTCTTAGCATGTTAAATTTGACCTTTGCCCTGAAGGTGCTATCAAGTAAGATGTTGCTTGTTTTAATATCTCGGTGGACATAATGAGTTTTGGTGTGCTCATGAATGTACTCAAGACCTCTAGCGGCATCAAGAGCAATCTGGACCCTCATGATCCAGGAAAGTGACGTGTGACCTGCAATAAAGATGCTTCACCAAGTAAATATCATATATACATCCATGGCTTGGTCATGCAAGGCAAGGCATGGCATGGCATGGCACATACAGAAGTCCCTCCATTACTGTTAAATTTTGACGACAACAGGGAAAAAAGGAATTACATCAAACTGAGACAAATAAGGTCTATGAAACTAGTTGAGTCTTACCCTTGCTTTGAGGATCATGTAAATGACTTCTAAGTGAACCTTTTTGTGCATATTCATATATAAGAAAGAGCTCATCGTCGGTAGCTGCATACCCAATCAATTCTACCTGAATATAAAGAGCCAAATAAAAGTCAATGGTTTGAGATACTCCAATCAAGAGGGCTCTAAAAAGCATAAAAGAGATTATCCAACAAACAACAGTGGGTATTACCAGATTGGTATGATGAACCTTGCATAGAACTTTCATTTCTGCCATAAATTCTTTCGTTTTTGTAGCAGTCATTCTTTTAATGGCAACTTCCTGAAACATCAAGTAAAATAATTACATACGCCAATGGTTTTAATAAATGATTATATATGTATCACAGTATATATTACGAGAAGAAGCAAAATAGATACGGGTGAAAACCTGGTCGCGAAGGAGCCCATAGTAAACAGAACCATATGTCCCATTCCCCAAAACATTTGAATCTGAGAACCCATCAGTTGAGGAAAAAATGTCTTCATATGTGAAAACCACGGGCTTCTCCATTTCAAATACATCGGTCCCAAGGGCTTTCGACAAATAAACAAGACCAGTCAGACAGCTTAACCTTCCTATCCTTATATAAATAAGGAAGAAAGAGTAGCCTAACATCTTATCAAATGCTTAGTCAATACATTTCACTAGTCGTGAGAATAAATTAGAGACCCATTTATCAGAGAACCATCAAATCAGGTATTGTTTTACCAATATATAGAAAGAAATGCCCAACAAGTATGCACTGATGGAATAAAAAAAGATGGTTCAGAATGTCAACCTTTAGGGATGGTTATTTGGTGGCTTTTAGGTTCTCCATTAGTTTGCTTGCAATCTCCAGACTTGCAGCAGATATATCTTCCTGAAGCGCAACAAAAACTTGGCTTCCGAAGAATCTGAAACTTACAAGACTTCTGGCTCTCTGAATCTTTTGGATGACCTCTTCGTGCTTTATTAAAGCATCTCGATGACCTCAACGAAACATATATAACTATACTTATCACAATAAGAGCAAGAACAAGCCCCAGACTCCCAACAATCCATATGTATGGTGCATGAGCTTTATGATTTACTTGATTTTCTGTGGACAGATAGCAAACAAGTTGTCATAAAATCATAAGAGATCTTTTACAATTATGGCAATGTTAATCCTTCCCTGAAAGTAAATTACAAAAATATTTGCCATCAACACTGCTATTTGGTCCGGTAAAAAAAAAAAAAAAAAGACTGCTATTTGGTTAGGTTTTTTTGGAAGAAAAAAGACTTATACCAGAAGAACCAAAAGATAAAGTTTAATTCAGCATTGTATAAAGAAACGTCTATGACGTAACTGAAAGTCAAAATTAAGTAAAATATCTAATAGCTCTTTTCGAATTTTCTTCACAGCAGTCACATGACATATTGCAGAAAGATTGTCAAGGATTGTTTTACCTTGTGACTCGAGCAACTCTTTCCTTTTCTTTATCAAAGATATGTAGCCCAAACTCGAATTTGGACAGTTGCTTCAGTTTGTTATATTTTAAATTTATGACCATCAATAGGTTTCCTAGTATACACCATAACTAACCAGCTCTCAGCTTCAAAAATTTATATATTCTTTAGGAACAAATAAGCAGTTGCGCTCTCTGCAATGTTACTTGATATCCTTATATGAAGACAAGTAAAACAATACCTGCTAAATCGCCAATTGAGGGAGCTGGCGCAGGAGTACTGTGAGGAACATCAGCCTTCAAAGGATAAGGGTTGCCGGGAACTATAATTCATGAGAAGAACGATTAGTAAATGTTTAAACCCCTGTCATAACAAGGGAATTCGTCGTTAATATAACTCCTAAGTCCTATCAAGAATGACTAGGACATTAAACCTTATTTGATCATCAAATGATTAAGATAATATTCAAAGAGATCAACAGTACTATGATGAATCAACTTTGAGTTCATTCATTGAGAAATTTCTATTTAACACATAAAAAATACCGAGTTTCTTCTTAATCCCTTTCAACAATTCTTCATTTCTTTTTATGAAATCCATTCACCACAAAGCTTAAGTTCACAACGCAAAAGTCAAGTTCTCATACTTGCTAACTGCCAATTTGTCATTTTTTTTTAATTATTTCAACCAGCATTTCGAGACTTTTGTTCAGGACAAAAATAAGGAATGTCCCCAACTTAACTAGCAGAAAGTGCCAAGCTTCCAACTATTTCTGCAGAGCTTCCTCATTCTCACGCCATGAAAAGGACTGTCCTTAGTTCCTTTCGGCCAAAACTAAAATACTAAAAACAAGGAGAGAATTTGGATACATGCTATATACACATCAACTTCATAACAGCAATGCATTATGTGATGGAGTCAAATTTGACATCTCATATGCACCAATTTTCAGCGTGATCATATCCTTGTCACAGCTCATAAATTTATAATAGTTAGGTGAGTTCAACTAACTTAACAATTAAGAGACCCATTACATCTTTTTATCAAGGCTAATCTTAGTAGATTTCCAAATAATTATGACGCATAGCTCTGACATTGACACTAATAATAAAAAAATGAACTTTTTTAACAATGTATAGAGCCCTCTAATATATCCTAGACTATTTACGAATTCCAATTCAAATATAATCTAAATAGAAAAGCATCACTAATCCTGATAATAAATAATAAAGAACCCGATCAAACTCAAACTAAATACAAATAATAATTAAATAAAATGGAAGTCCTAATATTACTCAAAACTCCTTAACCATTTGTCATAAATCAAACTAGAGCAATAAGCCAATTGAGGCTACCTTAATTGAAGTTTAATGGGTGTGTGAATTCTTTTCAATGTTTTTGAGTTCTGGGTTCAAGTTCATCAACAGTAAAATTTTAATAAATTAATACACACACACAACCCACCACATACATCCACGCCAATTTAAATCAAAATCCAAAACAATGTAAAAATAAAAATAAAAATAAAATAAAACTAAAAACTGGGTTTAGGAAAAAATAAGATGAGGAAACTAACCCGAATCAAGAGGGATATAATAGAGGGAACCCGCAGTGACATTATCAGGATTTTCGATCCCATTGACCCTCTCAATACTATCCATGCTAACCCCAAAGCGACTAGCGAGCGATTCAACGGTGTCGCCATCCTCCAAAACGTAGCTCATCAAGTAATTCCAGAGCCCACTGGAGCACCCACAGAACAGCCTCAGCGATACCACGGCGCCGTACCTGGCGACCCTACTGGTGTTGGGGAGCATTGCCAGCCCGTCGTAGGCGCCGGCGACCAGGTCGTACACCAGCCCCTGACCGGACCGGACCGTGAAAGTCGTGTTGGTCACGTACTGCTTGATCCCCTCAGCGCAGGAGCAGTTCTTCCTTACGAAGACGTGTCCCCGTCCGCCGTCGGAGCCCTCGACGGTGACGTCGCCGGGCAACACGTCGAACATGCTCTTGATCACGGCCAGGGTCTGGTTCGCCTTGGGCTTGAAAGCCAAGAACGAAGTGCAGAGTCGCGTTGTGTCGGTACAGTTTATGGGTGTCGTTGAAACCATGGACCGGATTTGTAGAAGAAGAACAACAACAAGAAGAAGGAGAAGAAACCCAGGAGCTCTGAACTCGATTTTCATGGTTTAAGACTCTGATCTGAATGGGAAAGTTGGGGAGGGAAGAGAAGAGAGAAGGTACGAGGAGAAGTGAGAAAGAAGAAGCCAGGCTTAAGGGGGTTTGAAGGAGGAGAGAAGGAGGAAGGAATTAAGGGATAAACAGAGCATTGTTTCTGTATATAATTTTGTTTTGCACAAATGATAATAATAATAATGATAATAATACGTTTTTTGTTTTGTGTTTCGTGTTTGTGTGTGTCTCTTCTCTCACTGAATACTGATCACTATTTTTTTTTTTTTTTTTGCTAATCGAATACTGATCACTATTTGTTAAAACTGCTTAAGCGGTAAAAAAAGAAATAAAGAAAAGAAAGCGACTTACAAAGAGAGAGATGACCACCCACCTGGAGATACTACTATCATGGACCCCTTTTTTTCTGAATGGACTAAACTACCCTTTACTTTTTACAAAAAGAGCAGAGAAAATTTCATTTTAATACCCTCTATTATATTAAAATTTGAGTTTAGTATCTTCTATTGTTAAAAATTTCACGTTGATACCTCGACTTTTTTTAAAAAAAATTTAGTACCTCAAAGTCAAAGTCATTTTTTTAGAATACGGAAAGATAAAATTATATTTATTGTAAAAATTCATCTGTTGATTAGAATTTTTAAGAAAAAAAAAAATTTTGAAGAGATGAATTTTAAAAAAATTATGCTATACAGGTATAACAATTTTTAAAAATTTTAGTCAACAAATGAATTTTTATAATAAGGACAATTTTATCTTTTTGTGTCCTAAAAATAATATCAAGGTTTCAGAAAAAAAAAATTAAAAAAAAGTTGAGGTACCGCATGAAATTTTTACAAACATAAGATATCAAGCTCAAATTTTAATATAACACAAAATACCAAAATGAAATTTTCATAAAAAGTAAGTGTATGTGATTAGAAAATTTGTTTGTAATGTAAGAGAAAAGAACATTAAAAAATTTGTTTCTACGTAATTAATGATGTTACTGGCATTCCACAAAGGCAGTTAATGATGCCACTAAAGAGCAGTTCAAAAATTATGAGAGACTGTTAATTTGGTGGAACAAAAAAGAATTAACAAAATTGAAAAAAAAAATGAAAATGAAATAAAACTAAGAAAAGAGAGTGGAGAACCAAAATACAACTCATCCCATTTGTCATAGAATTTCCAGCCACCAAGCAGAGCTTATCGTAATATATCTAATTACTTTAAACAATCATTGATAGAAACTACTGTACAATACCCACTAACAACCAATTTTATTTCAACATATGATTTTACAACAGTTAAAACTTTGAGCATAACTTATTACATGACATTGTGTAAACATATGAAACAAAAAACTGTAGCAAAAATATTTATTTCAGTCTACAACTTTCTTTAAGTTCATTTTTTTTTTTTTTTCGAAAAGTAAAGTATACAAAAATTACCACTTTATCTTTAATCACTAAACTATGACCAAAAAAGTATATATTTAACAAAAAAGGACTTAAAAAGGAAGATTGTTGTGGTTTCTAATAATCTCTAAAAAAAAAGAGTATTTTAAAAAAATTATTAAAAAAAGTATTTATTTAACCTGATATATTTGTCAACATAAAATCTAATGCACATATGAAAGGGGAATATGGTACATATATATACATGGAAGATATTGAAGAAGGAAAATTAATTGTAAAATCATAATGATTCCTTTTTCTATGGAGAATAGTTTTCACTCACTAATTTCTAAACAAATGGAAGGAAATAGTTTTACTCAAACAAAATTGGAAGGAAATACTTCTTTTTTGTTGTAAATTAAATAAGTGTGGATGCCACATCTTCGTATTTTATAACCTCTCATTTAGCTCTCATTATCTCTTCATAATTCCTCCCTTAATGTTGTGTATTATCTTTTCATAATTCACATCTTAATATTGTATGTAACTTGTGTCTTTTGATCTAACTTTATTCATGATTCCTAGCTTATAAATAGAAGTTGTGTTGAGTTTATTTTGAACACACCTATTACAAGTGAATGAAAGAATATAAAATGATAGTCTTTCATATTTTTCTTGTGTCTTTCTTTTATTTATGCTTTGTAGTTTATCTTTTGTGCTATTTTTATTTGTTTTATAATACGTTATCAGCACGAGTCTCTAACCATTTTTGTTGTATATAAAAAGTTTGAAGGTTTTACAAGATTTGAAAATTCTCCTCTATTATCAGCACGAGTCTCTCTAACCATTTTTATTGTATATGAAAAGTTTGAAGGTTTTACAAAATTTGAAGATTCTCCTCTATTATGTCTCTAATCATTTTTATTGTATATGAAGTTTTACAAAATTTGAAGATTCTCCTCTATTATCAACACGAGTCTCTAACCATTTTTATCTAACCATTTTTATTGTATATGAAAAGTTTGAAGGTTTTACAATATTTGAAGATTCTCCTCTATTGCCACTAGTACTATTCAACTCGTAGAGCTATATATATATATATATATATATTATGTCCATACCCTATTATCAATTTCAAGGTGTTTAAAGTATATTCGTATACGAGGTAATATTTCTAGTTTTCATTCCTTGTGCTCGCGGATTGGTTTCATTTTGCAAATGGATTTTTCTTTTTAAAAATAATTAGATTCTGGTGTCCATTCTTCTATGTATACATAAATACATATATATATATATATATATATATATATATACATTTATCTTTGTGTGCTATATCAATTCCTTATATTTTGGGTGTAAATATTGTTGGAAGGCTTTTATTTTATTCATAGATTAGTTTGTATGCTCATATATACTGTGCACATGATAATTAATTCCTATTGCACAAGAAAGCATGGATTTATTTTTCGCTGCGTATCTACGGCTTTCCAGTATGAGTTTTTAGACATCTACGATGTTGTCTGTTGGTTATGGCATCAATTTTTAACTTATGATATTCCTCTATATAATAATTTGCACTTGATGATTGAAAGTTATGTTTGTATTTTTCATATCAAGATATATAGTTATTGCAATTTCCATATATATGCCCCTTTCGTTTACTGCATGTATGATGACTTCTATAATATACATTATTTTTAAACTGTTATCCTCGTGGATATATTAAATTTATATTTATTTTCAAAAAAATAACGTGAGCAATTATGTTTTGGTAAAAGCTATTATTTTTACTAATTAGCTATTTGGCTTTACGTGTTCCATGAATATTGCAATTATGGTGCAATATAACATATGTGGTTCTTATTATTGATCACAAATATGAAAAGACAATCAATTTTAATTATTAAATTTGCACATTTTATGAAGTGAATAGTGCATATTTGGTGGCTATGTGATTTTTATAGTTCCTTGATGTTTTCGTTATTAAATAGCGAAAAATAGTTCCATCAAGTTTGGGGAAGCATACTAATACGATGAAAGGTTTGTCTAATTATTTTTGCATATTCCCGAAGTGAATATTGGATATTTGATGGCTATGGGAATATTATAATTTCTCAGTGTCCCCATTAAATTATCATAAAAAGCCACAAAGTACCACTGGAAGTGAGAAGTGTACTAATTAAAAGGGAAATTAAAAAGTTAGCAAATCCCATTAATTATGAAAATTAGTCGCTATCAATGTGATATAAACAGGTTTTGGTGCGTATTTGTTATATGCCTAAATATCTGGATGCTTTTTGTCAAGCTTAAAGAAAGGGAGAGGATAAAATTCTACTTATCTAGATGATTTTTTTTTTTTTTTATCACAATGGTGTTATTATGCTAATACTAGTATCCCCTAATTTTAAAATGTCACACATATCACCACTTGAAGTGTGAAATGGGGTTTGCGATATCATGAGGCTCCCATGATGACCAAAATTGATTACTGAAAAAGGTTTGGGTGTGTACCTATTATATGGATCTTTGATATATATTAACTAAATAAAGGGAGAAATTATATGATAAATTGATCCTAAGAATTTTAATTTGGCATATGAAAAGGCTATGAACTAATGTTGATGCACCTGTCTTGCGAACATACATGTGACATTTACAAGGGTAAAATGGGAAAAGAAAAAGTAGAGCTATATATTATCTCCTCTTTATTTTATTCAAAGTTATTTTCCTAAATTTATTTTTGACGTGGTGGAGTTATTATGGTATCCTCTAATTTTAAAAAGCTCATATATGCTATCACTAAAAGCGGAAAAAATGTTAAAGAAATCAAAAGGCTTGTGAGTTAAAATTATTTGATGTGTGAAATGTCACATTTTTATCCAATATGCCTAAGAGATACAATTTGACTTGGTCAATACAAAATAAGGGGGAAAAGAGAAGAGAACAAAGAGATTATATGGCCTAGTCCATCGATGGGCAATTGGTGATATTTGGGATTTTCAATTTGTTTGAGAAAATAAATTACATAGTTAATGATGAATTCTCAAGTTATTATCATCTGAATGATGAGAAAATAATCAACAGTAGAGATAAATAAGAAATGTCTCTATATTATTTCAGTTTTACATAAGAAGATGGATAAATATTGTTGGTTACATTCAGCCTTATGTGAAAATGATGTATTAGAAAATATTTACATTTTCTCTTCTAAATTGTAGTAAGACAATTATATGAATCAATATGACGAATTGGAAGTTCAGTACACCAAGAGGTATAATGAGTATGATTTGAGATACTGATCATTTTGAAAAATCCCTACAGGATATTGCTTGAGAAAAAAATCTTCCCACCATCAAGGGGAGGGAAGTTGCACTTGGATATTATTGATCCTCGCATAAATTTATTGATTAAATATTGCAATGCAGTATAGAATTGTTAATATGACAAAGAAAATGACTAAATCACTTCTCCAACTACTGTTATTATAAATTTGATTGAAGTCTCTAAATGAAAATCGACTAGACTATTAATCTAAGATATGCCTGAAGCGTTGAAGACTTAATTGGTACAAAATACTATATCTTTTAAAAGACCATATCCCTAAAAAGGTTGTACACATAAAATGTCATTGACAAAACAAATTGACACTCTTGTTTAGAGATCAAACTTCTGAGATAAATTGAACTTCTGAAGTAGTCCAACGGGTATACCTGAAATTTTAAATAGTGTGAAAAGAATAGATAAATCTCAAAAAGTTATGTCAATATATGAGTAAAATTG